AGTTTGAGTTTATTTCAACCCGGGCATTTTGGCCTTGAGAATGACTTACATATTACCCTATACCTGATTAGATTATGAATGGAAGCTTAGTGTAGCGGTTATCACGGCTGGGTCATTGTACAGTTCTGTCTCAGCAGACCTCGGTTCAATTCCGGGAGCTCCCGTGAAACGTTCGTAGAATGATTTTTTTCCTCTGTAAAGTTCAGCGCTTTCAGCCTGTGTAAATTGTATTATATAATACTAGCAAGTCATCGCGCGACGCGCGACGGTACTCTTCCATGAATTGTACATTCCGGTCAATGAAATGAGTCATAATTCTGATAGATACATTTACGTTTGATCCATATTAAAATGTCAATTTCCTAAAAGAAATCGTTCCACACAACCACAGCTATGAGAGACGCCATAAGGCAAAATAGGAGGACGGTTTTCACCGAGTTCTGAGGCATATGTGTCACCCAAATAGCAACCCCGTCAGACGCGTTGGGACCAGCCGCCACGGCGACTCTGGCACATCCAGTTTTAGTTTCTTTGCCATACTGCCAGAAAATTTAGTACATGACTTGTAATGCAATGAAAACAAACTCACCGCAAAAGCGCAGACCCAATCACGAGCTGCATCTCAATCAACAAAGGCGCATAAAAATGAAATAACCACATACAGCTGTGCAGCAAGAAAGTCTGAAGACGTCGCCCGCTAAGCTCCCATAGATAAGCTTTCCCTATGCTTCCTTCGAAAATAGTGTCATCAACAAATTTTGCTTTGGTTCCAGGACCCAGGCCAGTCATGAGACGGGAGCGTCGAACGATTGTTTCTGAGTCATGTTTCGTGGATAAACTCAGCAACTTGAAGCTCTGAGGAGCACGAATGAGTGCAAGGCCATCCGCAGTAATATCGACCCTAAAGACAGGTCAGTCTCCTGAAAAGGTATGAGTTAAGCAAGCCATACACAGAACCAGTGATTGGAATTTTATTAAATAGTTTGAAACGGGCTGGATCCCTCCCGCAGACTTCAACACCCCATCTGAAAAGCATTACTGTCTCAATCTCTTAAATACACCAATGACCATAACATGCTGTTGACTTACATGAAGATTGCATCGGCATAAGAAACCGCTAACTGTTGAGATGTGAGCCAATGAACTGTCCTAGGCATTGGGTCAAGCGTAGCCTTTGGGAACGGGACAGTGGCCACCAGTCGAACTGAAGCTATATGTAGAGCACTGACTGCGTATAGTCTAACGTTGGAAGGTGTAATGACTGCGAGGAGGCGGTCATCAAACAAAGAAAACGAAACTGCAGCTTCACAATGAAATGCCTCCACCAGGTTAGCACGAATAGGTTCCTACAGCAGTCTTGAGCAATCAACATAGAGAGCATTAGGTGAGCCTTACCTGATAGGTGTGGTTTACCCGAGTGACACAAAGGGCCCCGTCTTCATGGCCGGATACAAACGCAGATGTCTCCCTAAATGAAGTAACACACAGGGCTTTTTGAGGAGCTTTCAGGCATCCGAGATAGAGAGGCGCGTCGTTGTTGGAAAGGTCCCAGAACTGGACGCTAGTGCCACAGGCGATTGCAAGATAGCGAGCGTCGGCAGAGAAACACATGTCGCTGATAACGCAGCGACTAGTAGAGGTATGCGAGGGGATCGGGCTAGCAGGCCTCCAGACGAGTGGCGGCATGTTTGAGTTCGAGGTAGGGGGGCGCAAAAAAGAAGAGCAGCGACAAAGAGAAAGAGTAACACAAAGTCGGGCCGGCAGGGCCGGACGAACGAGAAAACGGCCAGACTCATCGAACCTTTGGGACGCTGGGACGGAATGTTCAGGTTTATCAATGTTTCTTGGCAACGCAAAATTTTGAGTAAAAGCCGTCCACGAATGCACCTTTACTGGAGTTGGTCTATATTCAATCAGGGCACTGTATACAAACGAAAAAAAAAGCTAACATACCATTTCCCCATGTTCCGCATATATAGAGCCATTTATTATTTGTGAGCTGCTCTTGCATCCAAACCGCTCATTCTCCCACTGCCTCACTCTTTAGTACATCAGCCTTGACAACCGCAAGAGCACGCTGGCCAGTCTGGCTTCTGGAAGTCCGGAATGTCACAAATTTCAGAACGGCTGGATGATCGACTCGGAGTTGCTCGGTATCCTCATGAGTGCAGGTAGCCGAAGAATCTTTTGGGGGAGGTAGGTAGAGGTTCCAGAGGTTCCGTATCGTAACCTTCAGGCTGGCTTCGTTCTTGATACCGAACTGGTCTTCAACAGACCCAGCCCACTTGAAAATTCCAGCGACAACTTTGGTGTTCCATGGTGCTTTGCAGTAAGAAGGGGAAGGTCCGCTTTGGAGCCTTGACGAGGTTTGAGTTTCGTGCTCTTGGAACATTTTCGAGTGTCGATTTCATGAACGTTGGCGGTGCGAGTACAGAGGATAAATTGATTAAGTCATCATTTGGCATCGCGCGATGCAGAAAAAACAGTCGCGCGATGCCAAATATGCCAAGTTGCACACAAATTATCCTATTTTCCTATAACTTATTAAGTACAATCAGTGCTGTGTATCTACTCACTACTTATCTCTGATGGGCCTTTGATAGGTTACTAAGTACAGTGTCAAGAAAGTGATATATAGTAGATGCACAGTAGTACTTACTCCAAGTCTTACGAAAATGAAATGGTATAAATTAAACAACTTACAATCAACCCGTGCATCTCTGTATCACCTGCTCAAGCACTGC